GCTGAAAGTTTTTATACATACAAATAAAATTGACGTTCTACTGATCTCAGAAACACACTTCACGGTAAAAAGCTTTTTAAAAATTCCACACTATAATGTATATGACACCAAACATCCTTCTGGTAGGGGCCATGGAGGTTCTGCGATAATTATCAAGCAAGACATCAAGCATTTCTTCCTATGCTCGTTCGCCGACGTCCACATACAAGCTACCGCCGTAACTATAATTACAAATTGTGACAACATTACACTCTCAGCTATCTATAGTCCTCCAAAACATAAAATAACGGTACAGCAATACGAAAGCTTCTTCAAATTATTAGGTAATAAATTTATTGCAGGTGGAGACTATAACGCTAAACATAAATTATGGGGCTCAAAAACAACCACACCACGAGGTAAAGTTTCAGAACGAACTATACGAAAACTATCTTTGGATACAATATCAACCGGTGAACCAACATACTGGCCATCGGCACAAGAAAAAACTCCAGACTTACTAGACTTTGCAATCACTAAAGGTTTACACAAACGCCACTTTGTAGCCCGTTCGTGCCTAGATCTTACATCAGATCACTCTCCAATTCTTATAGATTTTTCATCTAAACAAATGTTCACGTACGGAACAAACCACTTATACAACAATAGCACCTTAAATTGGACCCAATTTAAGGATCACCTTGAAATTAAAATAAATTGCAACATACCACTAAAAACACCTGAACAAATTGAAACAGCAGTTATGAACTTCACTGGCATAATACAAGAAGCATGCTGGATAGCCATTAAACAAACTGGAAACGATAGAAAATATCTATCCTTCCCTGACTATATTCTGCAGAAAATAAAGATGAAACGAAAATTAAAAAACATTTGGCAAAAACGCAAAACACAACTCAACAAAAGCAGATTAAACGCCAGTACTAAAGAAGTGAAACAATTAATACAAAACTACCTCAATACTGAATTTCACAATTACATAACAAAACTATCACCCAACGAGGACACGAATTATTCACTCTGGAAAGCCACCAAAAGATTGAAAAGGTCAGCCATTCTGCTACCTGCTATAAAGAAAAATGACTCTAGCTGGGCTAGGAGCAGGCTTGACAGAGCAAATGTTTTTGCTGAACACTTACAACACACTTTTAAACCAAATACAGGTAGCTGTAATATTACTCCACAAGTAACTCCGCAGCCCACAACTGAGTACCAGGTACAAATTATATCACCAACTACGGTAAAAGAAGTTACCCTCCTTATTCATGAAACTCGGGATAAAAAAACGCCTGGGTTGATATGATAAGTGGTAAGATCCTCAAGGAACTTACACCCAAAGCGGTAAGAATGCTCACTATAATCTTTAACGCGGTTCTAAGAAGTAAATATTTCCCTGTAAACTGGAACTTAGCTCAGGTCATTATGCTGCCAAAACCAAAGAAGGATCCTCACTTGCCATCGTCATACCGACCGATCTCGCTTCTTCCGCTAATGTCTAAACTTTTAGAAAAAATAATTCTAATTAGAATGAAGAAAGTAATAAGCGAAAAAAACTTAATTCCGCCTCATCAATTTGGTTTCAGAAATAAATATGCGACAATTGAGCAGGTGCACAGGCTAACAAATAAAATATATTCCGCATTTGAACGAAAGATGTACTGTACTTCTGTTTTTCTAGACATAGAAAAAGCCTTCGACAAAGTATGGCAAGAAGGTCTCCTACACAAAATTGAACAAAATTTTCCTTCACCACTCTACCAACTTCTGAGCTCGTACCTCGCAAATAGAACCTTTTTTGTTAAGATTCAAGAAACATGTTCAGAAATCTGTGACATTGAAGCAGGGGTGCCACAGGGCAGTGTTCTCGGGCCAATTCTGTACACGCTATACACTGCAGATATTCCCATCACCAGTGAAACCTCAATATTTTCATTCGCAGATGATACCGCAATCCTAGCTTCACACGTTAACCCGTTACAAAAATCGCACACGATTTGTTGCAACAATACCTCATAAAAATCGAGGAATGGTTGAATAAATGGAGAGTAAAAGTTAACTCTGAAAAATGTAATCACATTACATTCACATTAAAAAGGGGAACTCTCCCCCCAGTTACTTTCAACAATACAAACATCCCTCAAACTAAAGTAGTTAGATATCTAGGATTACATCTGGATGCAAGAATGACCTGGAAATACCACATCAAAACTAAAATAGTTTTACTACTACCTCACCGGCAGGAACTCCAAGCTGAGCACGAGCAATAAACTCCTCATCTATAAAACAATAATCAAGCCAATCTGGATGTATGGGATTGCATTATGGGGTACGTCCGCCAAAAGCCACATAGCAAAAATGGAAGCGTTACAGTCCATAATTCTTAGAATCATTGTCAACGCTCCTTAGTACGTGCGGAACGAACAGATACGAAACGATCTCATGATCAAGTCAGTGGAAGATGAAATAAAACACCTATGCAATAAATACATGAATAGGCTCGCAAACCATCCCAGCGATTTAGCTAAAAATCTGTACACAGAAGACATACCAAGAAGACTATACAGGAAACATCCAAGTGATCTCCTACCTAATGAGCGCGTGCAATAAAGATGCAACCTATGGTGGAAGCATCTACGAGTTAATCATCTAAACGCTGCTTTAACAATTTACCAAATGTCCTTCCTGGACAAATTGTAAAGTACTCTGGGGATTAAAAAAAAAAAAAAAAAGGATTACACATGCTTTGCAGAAGTGCAAGGAAAGAACCGTCGCGCAGTTTCACCAAGGCGCGTAGCTCGTTAATTTATTGCCAGGGTACCTACTCCTTCGAGATAGGAAACAGACATCACGTGCATCGGCTTGAGAATGTCCGAAATAAAGAGGACCACCAACGTCCCCGTTGCTTCGAGTTGGAAAGAACAATGTACATTGTTTTCCTTGAAGAGCAGGGAAATAATTTTACCGACACGTGTAAGTTGACGCTGCTTGGCCCTGGCCGACCACCTTTGTAGAGGCCGGAGCGGAATTTTCGGTTATTTATGGCTTAAAGTCTTCGGCCTCGTAGCAACCGTGAACTCACAACAGAATTGACAATCGACAATTTTATTACAACTCTGTGAAATTGTAGTTCTCATGAAAACATTTCATACGTATTTTTTTTAGTATTTCGTCAAATATCTCGGAAATGATTAGAAATATAAAAACCGTATTCGTTAAACTCTTTTTCGTAAAATAAGCCTATCGGTAGGGTGATGCGGTTCATATTAACGTAGTAGTAACCTATTGAAGACAACGGTGCGCTCCGGTTCAGGTAAAAGAACCGGATCCAGACTATTTCAATGAGATTAAAAGCTATATCAAAGTGTCAATGATTTACGGAAAAGAGTTCAACAAATACGGTAATATTTTTTTGGATTTACCTGCACCGCGCACTGTCAGGAGTCGGCGAAAGATTGTTTAAAGAAAGGGATTATTCTGGAATTCAATGATATAGCTACATTCAATATCAAAACAAACACAATATTACAAATTATATGGTTTTTATATTTCTAATAATTTCCGAGATATTTGACGGAATACTAAAAAAAATACGTATGAAATGTTTTCATGAGAACTACAATTTCACAAAGTTGTAATAAAATTGTCGATTGTCAATTTTGTTGTGAGTTCACGGTTGCTACGAGGCCGAAGATTTGAAGCCATAAATAACCGATAATTCCACTCCGGCCTCTACAATGGTGGTCGTCCAGGGCCAAGCAGCGTCAACTGACACGTGTCGGTAAATTCTTTTCCCTGCTCCTCGAGATAGACAATGTACACTGTACTTTCCAACTCGAAGCAAGGGATACGTTGATGGTCGTCTTCACTTCGGACATTTTTAAGCCGATGCACGTGATGTCTGTTTTCTTTCTCGAAGGAGTAGGTACCCTGGCAATAAATTAACGGGCTACGGCGCCTTGAAAAAACTGCGCGACGGTCCTTTCCTTCCACTTCTGCAAAGCATGTGTTATCCTAGAACCGTTGATTTCTTTTTACCTAAATCTTGGGGGTAGAGGAAGCCCTTTCGGAAAAATTCTGTCATTCGGTTAGCAATCAGGCGACACAGATGTTCAGTTCACGGGAGTATTACGCAATGTTATGGTGGTACGTACAGAATAACGGATATGCGGGTGTTGCTGTGCAAGTGTTTGGTTACGTAAAACATCTGAAAAATTGAAAACAATCGGCCCTTTCCGGGGCCACGAATTTTCCTAACGTAGTAACAACACGTTGGATTAAAAATACATTAAGTGATTGTGTCGGGTGATCAGTGTTAGTGGTCGTGCAGTGAAGTGAGTACGTTTTCTGTGGAATAACCAGGACGCACTTGACGTTACAACCCTTAACTTCGGCTGGTGAGGTATACCTGCGATCACCTGTGAACTGGGCGATACCCTACAATAAACCGTTTAGGCCGTCGATAACCAAGATCGGTTCAGTGCCCTAGTGACACAGATTTGCAAACTGCAGGTGACTTTCCGAAAGGGTGAGTTCTAATCAATTTATTGCTGATTATTATTTTCTTAATTTAACGCAAACTATGGCTTATTTCCGGCGATAATTCTGCAAGTTTCTGTACCTAACTTTTTTTTTGGGCTTTTTGAAGAAACTTATTCATTATCAGTAACATTGTTGACCGTTATTAAACTACGAATTTTTATACCAATACCGAATTACGATCACTTCTCGTTCATTCTCTGTTACATTACCTTTTCATTCACACGTTATTTGAAAAGGAAATTTATAAAATCGTAAAAAGGAATTTACAAAAAAGTAAATGTGCATTCGTCTATTTACGTTACACATAATTTGCCTACATTTACGTTTCATTCATTAATCTCTTTAAATAACAAACGGCAGATAATAAAAAGTATAATTGTATTTGTTATGTCTTTTTTATTTGCTATTGTACGCAGTTTCCTGCGTTGCATGCTGACCTACTTGTTTGGAGCTTCGTAGTACAAGCGTAGCGCGTAGCCACCGCTAGCGTGGGAACTCGGCTGGCAAACTCGCGCTCTGATTGGTCGCGGTTTTTCGTTAATATCTCGGTAACGAAGCCTCAGATTACATTGTTGCTAAGGAAAAAGTTGTTCCAATTCACCCCCCGAGTGAATGGGGCCCTGTATATGGCAAAATTGTGGAGTTACTTTGACCTCAGTAGACGACCAGAGCAAGTACGAAAAATCATTTAATAACACTGTTCAACAAATTTAAACGTTTTTTCTGATCTGCAATATCCATTGAGAGATATAACTATATAGGTACACTGTTGTATTCAGAAAACTCTCCTCTGTCTTTCAAGAGTAAATTGAACTTCTTAGTGTTTTCAATTTTCACGTAATATGTCATGTTTCGCCAAAATCGGGTGCTTTTACAAAAGGTCATGTTTTTTAAAAACTGAGGGAAATAGAAAAATTCGACTTCCGGACTTGTGATCTGCACGGGAAACTCTATAAGGATCTCCCAATGGATATTGCAGATCAAAAATCGTATTGAACAGTGTAATTGATAATAACGACCAGGGTAGCCTGCATAGGTAAAGTGGAGCGACTGTAACGACGTTCAATTGTCGCGTCGAAACGTCTATAAAATGTCATAATAATATTTTTCTTCTTAAAATTAACGAAGTAACTAAAGATAGAAGTTTTTGTTCACAGGCGTAACTATCTGTTGTTGAACACACCATACCGAAATACAATACCCTCAATTATATGCCCTGTTTTGTCTATGCAGTCAACCCTGATCAGACATACCGAATGATTTTTCATATTGGTAATGTACAAATTAAATATATCAGAATTATCGAAATCATCAACAAAAGGTTTAGAATGAATATTATAAGAACAGATGTATTATAATTTCATTAATCAATTCAAATTAATTTATTCATTAAATTTCGAAAAAAACGCCGTGTTTTAATTTACCACAAATTCTTAGAAAGATATAAAACATTGACATTTTTTTAGGTCGAGAGTTATGAGAAGTATATACTAGAATGTGAGCAACTAGAAATATCTCAGCAAGAACCGGGGAGTAAAAATGAGAAGGAAGACATGTCACAAGCAGAGCAATGGAAGGAGCGAAGAGAATGTTTGGAGATGTTGAAAAGGGAATTAAGCAAGGTGCACATCACCAATAAGACACCTGATTTGGATTACTTTCTGGAAGACGATGAAACGAAGGAGCAGGATGTTACCATTACAGAACTTCAAGATGATAACATTTCCAAGAGGGAAAAGAATAAATAGTTATATACTATGTGACCTTCTTAATGCCGTTTCTGTTGATAATTAATCGAGAATTGGTAAATGTTTATGGAACTGTGTAAATTAAACAATGCTATCAGTAACGTCACTTTGTACAGTTCTATTTCTGTGATGCAATGATGATAAAGAATTTCTTTCTGTGTGATGTAATGATGATAAACAATTTTTTTTGTTATTTATTCTTCTGCATACACATATAGGTACATATGTTTTAATTATTAGAAAGCCTTAGATAGAACAACTTATCAGTGGTCACACCACCATAATCAATAAAATATTATAATTAACTGTTACAATTAATATAACTTCAAGGTAGGCTGGTGGCTATTCTTTTATATCTGAAAACAATGTAAATACATCAATAGCACGGTAGTTGAGAATGACATGTATCTACCGCACTAAATTGTCAGCGGTTACAATTAGTGATGGGATCAAGTTCAATGTGTACTCACGAAATCATAAAAGATTATATTCAATTATATGTACTTGTAAAATATGTGGATTATACAAGCTGGTTTCGAATCCTGGAACGTGTAGGTACTTGTAGGATTCAAATATAAGCTTTTAAGAGTTATAAACTAAACAAAAAGCTAAACTTTTAACAATAAATAACAGTAACTCGAAAGTTGTTTTCGCGCCGCAACTGTGACATTTCTTGTTTCCTCCATTTGACACATTCTATAAGGCCATTATTCTTACTCTTTGGATCATGCACTGTCGAGTGTTTGTAATCGATTGTGTATACTGGGTCTAAAGGTCGTAAGAATAGTCAAAATGTAAATACTTTGTCATCAACTTAATTAGTACATGTATGTATGGAAAGGCAATATACATTACAATGTTAGCTTCTTCAATTCAGGCTCACAGCCATCAGATTATCAGTTAGTTGTGATTTGTCCATTGTACAGTGTAGAGTTGATTGGCATTCACCGCAAAAATGTTTAAGTCAGAGTTATAGCAAATATGCCGAAACATTCTTGGGTGTGGAATTATTATTCAGAGCCTTGGGACTCTTACGGTACATGCAACATGTGTACTAAAAAATTAAAGTTTGATAAGTGTACTACTAACGTGATTAAACATATGATAGTTCATGATGTATCTGGACAAAATGGGAATAATGGTAGTTCATTAGAAAATAATCGGACTTACTAAGGTATCTTCACTATTCTATTTCAGTTATATGTTTACACTTACAATTAGAGTGTACAAGAGTGTTATTTTTATACTTTATTTTATATATAAATCATTCTATTATTTCAGATAATGATTTTAGAAAAACAAAAATCGATTCTTTTTATTGTAAATTTAGTAACAACCGATCTTCAATCTTTGTCGATTGTAGAAAATAGTGGATTCATTGCTTTGTTAAAATTTCTTGATCCGAAGTATTGTCTCCCAAACAGAAAGTTACTAAAAAGAAAAATATGATACATATGGAAATAATTATATTTGGGTATCTTTCGATAAACATGTCACAGTTTCGAACGGAAATATATGTAATTCAATCACTATTAATGCGGAGATTGAAAACTATTTAGTGGCGGAATATGTAAACCGTAAGGCACATTTACTTTCATTCTGGTTTGAAAATGTTACCAGGTACCTATTCTATTTTAACAAAAATTGTAAGGAATTATTTGTGCATTATGATGACATCAGTACTGTCTAAGAGAGTATTTTCGCACACTGGAAACATTATGGATAGAAAGGGAAACAGATTGAAGGAAAAGATTGTAAATCAAATACTTCTGTTACACAGTTATATTAATAATAATTGTAATAATGTAAACGTATGAATTACACGGTATGATTATTATAACAAGAACTCCTTTTAATGATTGTTTCAATTTAATAATTTCGTGTTTCTCACTTACAATTTATATTATCTTCTATGGTTCACCGAGCCCGTTTATTAAATAAATAAAAATAATTAAATAAACATTCAGTATATTGAAAATATTTATCAGAACATCTAATATTTTCTGACGTACTTATAATTGGGTCCGAATATGTTTCACATAGTTTCAATTTCATTTAAATAAAGATACTTGTTAAAATACTTGTAAAAGTTACACATTCAGGGTGGTCCACACAACTTGCTCACCCTGAATAACTTTTAAACTATGCATTGTATGAAAACTTTTTTTATAAGAAAGTTGTATGGTTTGGAGGAATGAATTACGTAATACATAAATGTTTTTTGTAAGTAGATTTTAACGTTTCAGAGATTTAAAGGTTAACTTGGTTTTTTTAAATAGAATGCTATGTTTTAGAATATTTTTAAATTTCTATATAAAATTAGAATATTCAAGAAAACGTAAAGAACTTTAATTTTTGCAATTACTTTGCGATACGATATGGAACATAAATCGTTATCCTGCTAGAAAGATCTTACTTACCAATATTGAATCAATAATATAATACAGTTTTAAGGATTTACACTTCAGAGCTGGAGCTTTAAAAAAAACATGTTTAAGCAAATTTGTAAATTTGTAAAATATGAGCATCACGAAATTTTGTATACATACAGCAAGATCGTCTTGTAAGTAAATACACGATTCCTAAAAATTGTATACGTAAACATTATGGTTTTTATTTACGACGACAATGTGTATAAAGTCTATAAGTGAAACTGACTGCATATTGGGCGCCATCAGAATTCCCAAATCATGTAAATCCTGCGATATACTGTACAGCACATTAACGTAAGTGTGCATTGCATAATGTACCCATCGCTAATGGGCTGTTTTAAACGATATCCATGTCTCGGATGGAAAGAAATTATTTGGGAAATAATCAGGTATGTGCGGGTACCCGAAGTCACGGTATTCCCGAGACTCGGGTCGGGTCGGCACAAGTCGGGCGAGATCGGCTGAGATCCCGACAGATGTCGGGTCTCGTATGGTATTTGTGGGGGGACGCTATAGTTTATCACGCGCGTATGGTTACGCGTCCGACACCACAAGATTGCGACAACGGTCGGTAAGGAGGGGCAAGGAGAAAGAGATCGGCTATTGATATTCAATAACAATAACAAGTTTATTACTAACTTAGGAACTTCACAATAGACAGATGTGTCTGAACGGCGTAACGCGGACTAACGCGTAACGCGCACAACAGGTGGCGACATAACCTCGAAACGAGGCACACGTGTTCAGGTACTATTTTAGACACGCGAAAACATTCCGCGGCGCGAGGACAACCTCGAGATACCTACGGCAGCGTAATACCCGGTATTTGCAGCTCGGTACACTAGACTTCCCGAGGAATATAAATATATACGCTCGACACCAAAGTGGAAGAAAGATATGGCGCTTGCATTCACTAGACCACTAGGCTATTGGGTTACTAGACGGCACAGTCCGTTGAGCAAAACGTCCGTGCGAAACCTCGCCAGCGCCACATATAGTTGCGTTCTTCTTAGGGAATTTTAAAGCTTCGTGGGAAATATGACGTGAGCTAGCGCCTATGGGGTGCTTTTAATTGTGATTTTGTATTCAAGTATTCAATTAAATAACAATTTCAATTCAAACTGTTCACAATTCTTTAATTTTAATTTCAACACCTTTTTACACTTATGTAAATGAATTTACTTGTACAAATACTCTCTATGTTCGAGAACGCGTCTGGATAGTTGTAATGTCCAGAGATGAATAGCAGAAAAAAAGAAACAAGGAGCGTCATCTCCTTGTCCAATTATAAAAACAAATACAATTTCTTTATTATCAAATGTCTTAGATACCGACATCCAATCAGAAAATTATTAATTAATTAAAACGACTTCCTATTTGCCAATCCATTCCTTGTCATTTATCAACTGTCCAGTTTGCGAGTGTTTAACATCTTAGCATTGGTTTGCATATTAGGAGAGGGAGATAAAGAGAAATTATTCAAACATAAATAACTTGAAATCTATCCTTTTGGATGAGTAACTACTGATTTCATATCGTTTCCTACATGTGCCAACTTCACCTTTCTCCCTTCTCCTAT